ATTTACATGTCTCCTGATACTTGCAAGTTTCCGCTCCCTCTTTACTATCAGTACCACTAACATTAAAATCTAGATCCAGAGTCTGTTCTTCTGGGTATAGTGCCAACTGGAATAAAACTTCTGGAAGGGGGGGAGTACCAGCAGCACACACAGTGGTAAAGCTGTATTCGTCTTGTGCCCAGGGGAAGACAGACTGACAGATGACAAGGAAGTCCTGATGAGCAGTTCATTAGACCTAAATTCTACCCTGACAGCTGTATGGAGGTTTCCCAGTCTGTGCTGACAACTTTCTCCTGCAAGGGCATTCTGGGGATTGCTGTTTGCTTTCGGCCCTAACGAAGTAACCCTGTATACAGCAAGTCATTTTGTAAGGCTTTCTAGTTTTGTGTGAAGCAGTGACTCCTTGATTGGGTTTTAACCGTAACTGACTTTAATATATGCCAAGCCAAAATCTGAATTTACCATAGAAACTAACAGTGGCGGTTATTAAGTCTGCTGCGTCCAGAGATGTAAGATGTCATTCTCCAGAATAGAACGTTTAAGTTTTTATGGCTGTGAACAAAGAACGTCCTAAATTACGAGGCTTATTCTGAATGTGTGACTTCAAGAATAGCAAGGAAGGTGCAAAAGGATGCTTATCCATGTCTGGGATGCAGAGGAGAAGGCATTCCGGGTCCAGGGAGCAGGTCATTTATAGTATTTTTCTCTAAATGTGGCCCCAACTGGTGGGCGAGTTCTCTACTGGTGACTAAACTTACCCTGATCCCAGGTGCCCTGGATCTATATACGACCACTTAGTCTCACACCCAACCCTGGATCATTGTACTTTAAGTGAAATTAGAATTAGGAAGAATGCTTAAATCCACCCGCTTCTGCCCACAAAGAAGTCAGTCCCCAGATGAGAAGATGTGAAAAGAATTACAAGCGTTGCCACCTTGTTCTCAAGAACTATGTGCACAAACTCACTATGGATTTGTTCTGCCCTTGCAGCTCATCTTCTTCCTATGAGAAGGGCTCACGTACTAGACAGCAGAGCGCATGGTTTTCCTCCAAAAGAAAACTCAGGGTTTCAAATGCAGGGGACACGGTGTACGACACTTGAAAAGTTAGGAATTTTCCATGTGACAAAAACGGTAATTAAATTGCATTTTACTGTTTCCTCTAATGACATCCATTTTAATTAGGTGTTAATAGACTGGCAGCCACAACCTATAACTTTATGATGCAAAGTAAAATTACAGTCTTATAAAACATTTAAGGAAGGGGACTCACCAAAGCCTAAGAGAGGTTACACTATACCCCTCATCCCTAAAGACTTGCCTGGTAATTAAGTGCGGTGAACAGGCAGCCATTAGGGCTAACAGTAGCTGTGCTTGCCACAAGTTAGCAATGGGCTGTTCTTTCAGGTCACACGTCTTTCTAGGATCTAATTCCCAGAAAATATGTGTGTCACTAATAAAGACTGCAAGAGCAGAAATGTTTGCCTGACTTCTAAATGTATAGCCTTGATCAAACATGCGGTCTTTCCACCATTGCCACGGGCCTGCTTTTCTGTGTTGAGATTGTAATACGGACTTTTCCCCATTGTTGATTATGATTCAAAATTACTCATCTTCGGAACACTGCCATGTGTTTGGGAAAATGAGTATCACACACAGAGAGTAAAATTATTATCTGAAGAAAACTGTTTCATGCACAAGATAAATGCATCTGCAAATGAGGAGCAATAAGCGAGGGCTTAATAGCATGCATCTGCATCTAGTTCATCCTACGTTATGAAAACTAGGGAGTAAATCACAAAAATGAACTCAGGCCACACGAGTAGCACAGGCACTTACACTGGCAGGTCCTGGGAAAAACTAGCCTCTTTGTTAGCTGGAGAATAGGGGAAAAAACAGGCTGCCCAAAACAACTTTGCACATATTTATGTGAAAAGGAAGAGTTTAGAAAATGAAGCTGCTATTTTAAACTATTTCTGAAGCATCAACAGTGTGAAATTTCATAAATCACATAAACCAGAAAGTTACAAATCTTGGGAAGGGGGCTATCTGGCCCTATGAAAACGATTCTGTCATCTTCTGGCTGACAATCTGATGGCTCTGGATCCTTTGCCAAGAAGCAGAGTTACTTGGCTACGATGCGTGTACACTTATCACACAGAAGCGCTCATGCCAGGAAATCTTTTTTCCTTTCCTGGTGTACTGGCCACTGCCAGAGATGGACCCATCGACTCCACTGGTGCTAAGGAGTTAAGCATCTGGGATTTAATTTAACAGTTTCGGCTTTATTAAGCTGTCATGGAGCGGCCCCACTTTGATAACAGTAGCTGCTCCAATTATGGCTTGGTTTAGGGTTGACAAGTATAATGATTCACTCGTGGCACATGAGAAGCAATAAAAGGTTGTTTTGCATTACAGCTTTAAAAATGTGGGCACTTTTTTCATTTAATTTGTCACTTAGCTTTTGCTAAGAGGACATTTAAATTGCAGTAAAAGGCAAATGGGGCTTTTAGTTTAAATGTAATCCCCATATTTAAATGATCTGTAATGGTGCAATGTTGGAGTGGGAACACTATTGTCTCACAGTGGGTCCTGATGGTGACATGTGACATTTGTATTCAGGTCCTGTATTATCCATGTGGCTAAAGGGCTTCCAATTTCATTTCACAGCCAGAAGCCTGCAGAAAACACCAATTAACTTGCAGATCCCATTTGCCCACAAAACTCAGCCTCTTCTCAATGTCTGGCATCTGGCAGTGCTCAGCATTTAATTCCAGAGCACAGCCTTGAAGCAATGTGAGACCCGTGTAGGGGCACAAAGTCAAATTCCCCCATTTTATTAAGAAGCAAAAGCCTTTCCTTTTGTAGTCCAGAAGGAACTTGAAGTTAATTTTTTGGTGAACAAATATTAAGATGTGATAGCTACTGTAACTTCTCTAGGGGATTTTTTCACAAAACTTAGATCCCACTAAAGTGGCAGCGGAGTCCACAGGCAAACTTCACTAGTCTAGTCATGATTTCAAGATGGGGTAGCGGGAGAAAGACGAAGGGCGCAAGGGGGAGTGTGTGTACCTGCAGATATATGTATGCATGCACATGCTTGTGTGCATGCATTCTTGATCCTTGTCTGAAATCAAACAACTTGACTAAAATCTGGGTCTTAATAAAGCAGTCCGTAGACACTATAACTGGAGTCAGCTGCCAAAATCTCCCACCCAATGAGAACTCCTATTTCAGACTGAAGGTCTTGACACACATTTTTCGAAGCCAACTTGGAAAGGTGAGACCTGACTATTGTAAATTTTGTTCAACAGTATCCTTTGTTTTCTTCTTTTTTGGTAACCAAAATATTCAAGTGACATTTTCTTTCTAAGCAATACGAACAGTACCATCACATTTCTCAGTATCACAGTCTAGGATCTTATACACTTAATAGTAACACGTATTTTACCTACACGAGTCCCTCCATTATTGTTATTTTTTAACTTTTTATTTTATACAGCTATTTGGCCTACATGTCATACCTGTGTGAGGATGTCAAATCTTGGAATTGCAGTCATGTGGGTGCTGGGAATTGAACCAAGGACCTCTGGAAGAGCAGTAGTGCTCTTAACCACTGAGCCAATGTCCCATTATTGATTATTATTGCTCATGCTTTTTAACCTTTATGGTCTGATTAGTGAATTCATGTACTATGGAGTCACGAGCTAAAAAGGCTTTATTTGAAAAACTAACTCACTCAGTTTTCTATAGAAATATTTACTTAAATCATGTATTCCCCTGAGTTCTTCAGTACCACATCATGCCCTCAAACCTCATTGCAACATGGTAGCTATTTACTGTTTTTACAGATTGACTTAAATTTGACTGGGAGAAAAGCTACTATCAATATTTCAGGAGACCCAAGGAAAGTATGAGACACAAGATAGTATTTTTCAAAATATGCTAGAAAAAAACTTAAAGGAAACACCTTGACACTTGGCAAGTAGCAGATGTACTTCTATAGAAACAAACCAACCGGAGTTCCTATGCCTACAGTCAAGTCTCCCTGAACAAGAAGAAACACTGACGTCATAGCTTACTGTATGATCCCAATGATTCCAGTTCACCAACTTATAGAAATCTTCCTGGGTCCAAATTCCTCAGCTTCAAATACTTCATCTTAAAGGTGCCTTTCATTACAATGATGTGGGGCCCTCCCTAGACAAATGTCCGTCTTCAGCTAGTTTAGGCTTGGGATCCAAATGCACCAAGCAGCAGTTGACTGCCAGCTATCAGGAATTTACTGAAACTGCAGATGCAGCAAGCATTTTCCTCTTTTGAAACTAGTAGACAGAAATACAATGTCTGTTACCCTATGGATCTCTTAATAGAAAGACAAGATAACAAATATATTACTATTTTTCATTTCTGTAGCAAATGAACACTGGGTAAGGAGCCTCATTCCCAGTATTTTTAGGTTGAACATGACAAGAAAATGTCTCTCTCTCTTTTTTACAGCCACCTGCTGTATTTACATCTTTAATCACCAGAAATTTTGGACAATAAAATTTTAGAGTCTGCCATATATTCTCTATTCTCAAGAACAATGGTTGACCTAGGTCGGTATCTGCTAAAAATATAGTGAGTATTCAAATCACTTCTGAGAATTCCAACGAGAGGAAAAAGCAAGGCAGACTCAAAAAATGAGATGAAATAGCCAGGAACTGATCCCACATGTAAACCATTTGTTCTAAAAATACAGAACCTTTTACCAAGTATCTAAAGGGACATTCCTGTGCTGGCTTCTCTCAGGAGCAGACACTCCCCAGGCTCTGCCACAGCTGCATTCTCCAAACACTAGTCTGAGTCCTTTTCTACCTACCCATCTGCACAAAGCACACTGACACAGGTTTGCACGGAGCAGCTCTCTCCAGCATCCATAGGACCATGTTCCTAAATATCCACCTGTGGTCTTATCTACAACAAAGCGCAATGTAGATGGACAGGAAACTCATTTACCAAGCTCATCCCAGAGCTGCCTGTATTTGTCAGTCATTGCAGTGCCTTGCTGCCTCCAAAGTGACAGGCGAGGGTCAGCCATGAACTGCTCTGTGATCAAGGTCAACATACGGGCCCCATTGGAGTCTCTCATCTTCAACATCTCACGCACCTAGTGGGGAAACGAAACAAAAATGTTAAAATTTACAAGTAAATAAACAAAAGCCACACAAGAGACTAGGAATGTGCTTATATGTATGTATGAGAGAGAAGCCTTCACACCAGTCCTCTAAAGCATACAAAAGTAGGAAAAACCATTCTGCATCCTAAACTGCAACATAATAAGAAAAGGCACCCTCAATTATTATAAATTATGCTTTAAAAGCTATATGCAATAATGAAGCTTTCCCAACTTTTCAATTTTAAATGTTTTGGTGAGTTTTATGCATTTGAATAAGACAATTATACTATGTTTCACATGTAGGGTAAAAATGCATAGGGTGTGTGTGCAAATGTGTGTGTGCGCATGCATGTGCATGTGGCCCTATGAGATAAAGTCTTACTATAGCTCAATCTGACATCTAACTCATGATTCTCCTGCCTCAGCTTTTTGACTGCTGAGATTATAGGCATGTGATATCACATCTGGCATAAGTTTTGAAGATGTCCCTCAAAGAATGCCTTTTATCTGAACCAGATCTACTTTGTTGTCAGACTATACTCAACAAAATAAATGACTAGCTAATTCATGCTTCAACAAACCACAGAAGTGCCAGAAAGTGGTATCCGAACCTGATACATTCATGAGAACTGGTTTAGCACACCCAAGTGATGGCACACCTTTGCTGGAATACAGGAGCTGCATAAACACACACACACACACACACACACACACACACACAGTTTAGTATATTCCGGACTCCCCTACTGATCATATTTACCAGCAGGTCGCAGAACCCAAGGCACGCCACTGAACATGGTTTAGGGATCGTGTAAACTGATCTGACTGTGTAAGTTTCCTTGAGATATAACTCACATTCCATACAAGTCATCAGTTTCAACTCTGTAATTCAATATTTCTTACAATATTCACAAAATTGTGCAAGAACTTTACTTTTTTAAGATATACTAATAATTTGGGCATGTTCTTTCTCGCTGAATTATTTACATGTGAGCAGTAGCATAGTCATCTCCAAAGATGCATGGGTTCCAGAACCTCATGGCAACACTGAACTCTTCACCTGTCCAAATTTCTAATAGTTCTTTGTACCCTACACAAACACGTCAAAGGAACTCTACATTAACCTGTGACACATTGTAACTAATACAATGTTGTCAATACACAATACGCTGTGTTCATACTAGCTGTGATGGTACCACCCAAGGGTGACAAGAAGGAAAAATCTGTACATCTTCAATACAAATGGAAACATCTTCATAGACTAAACTACGTTTTCAGCCCATGAATGGTTTCTCTGTTGGTGCAGAACCTGAAGATACAAAGGGCTGTGCACATTCATGCAAACAAGAAGGCTTTGCAGTGCTAAGAGGAATTGGACAGAGCCTGGAGGTTTAAGAATGTTCAGTCTGTATGAAGGCTCCACAGAGCACCAATACAAACAAACAACCAATCTCTGACTTAATAACTGAACTTGGTCTTTCAAGCTGAAGTCATGAACTGTCCGTTTTCCTGTGCTGCACTACCCAACTTAGAAAAGAGAAACACCAGGGTTAATCTGTCTACAGGAAATCATAAATGAACACATAAAACTTCAAAATGTACGGTGCTCGCTATATATTTAACAAATGAGAATCCCAACTCAACGACAGTTGTCCCTGTGATAAATTCCTGGTACAGGGTCCTGTAGGTGGGGAGGGGGTTTCTCTTTTCAGGATTCGGTTTGAAAGACAAGGCGTGAAAACCAAAGGTTCAACTGCAATACAGCACTCCAAAGACCACAGATTCTCCACCTCAGGCTTGGGCCGAGATATGCACCAAACTCCCCAGACCCTTGAGCATTTGAGCCTTGTAAAGACCAGCAAGCACTTTCTCCCTGAACCCAAATATGGAACACCACAAAGTCACCAACAGGCGATGTCAGGAGGACGGGGGTTGCCATTTGTGGACACTGTGCTCAAGAATTAGATATATATCTATGCTCAACTCTAAATTTTCAAACAGCATGCAGACTAGACCAGATTATAACCCTCATTTCATGAATTCTAAAGCCAAGCCTCAAAAAAATTAGGCAACTGCTCAGTGAACAAAAATAACAGCTGGAATCAGAAACCACATCTGCCTTAAGGCTAAAAATGCTATATATTTATATATTTCCAAAATCAGTTGCTGCTATTACTTCATATGCATATGTAACAACTGCAGACTGGCTAAAAATACATATTTTACATTGCTTCCACTTGGTCACAATGCACTCTGTGGACACGAACATGTGAAATGCTTCCCCTGGGTCTGAAAACCTACTGGATTTGATTTGTTTTACTGATACATTTCTAAGCTAGCACTCAGCAACAATGAAATCATTGCTTAACTATTATTGAACATATAAACCCAAAATATGTCTAGTAATCAAACTCAAGTACATTTGTTGTCTACAGTTAATACATTTCAAGAATATTAGCTGTAAAGAATGGCAAATTTAAAGTACCTGTGTACCAAGAACTAATTAAATCACGTGTGATGTCTTTCTAGATTCAAATGCCCTGCATTATAAACAAACTTGCAAACCTGATCATCTACATATGCCTGCAAGATAAATCTTTTTAACAGAATACACTAGTCTCTGTCCATATTCAGTAACAGAATTCATGCTAAACTTTCTGAATTAAAAATAAATGAACACAGAATATAAAACCATAACCTTAAATTTTTGTGAATACTAGAGAAGCTGTTTAATGAAATCAATTAATAAAGCTAACTGTTCCCTTAAAAGTAATTTTAATACATTATCTACAATAATGACTATACCTTCAAGAGAAATACGATGGTTTGGTATTGGGGTTTGTGTGCATGTATGTGTGAGGGGGTACATATGTGTTCATGTGTAGGTTATCAAGCACATGTGAGCTTACAGAGGCTAGAGGGTGACGGGCTGATGTAGCATGTCCTCCTCTATCACTTTCCACATCTTTCTCTCCTCACCTCTCCACCTCTTATCCATCCATCCATCCATCCATCCATCCATCCATCCATCCATCTCTCAAGACAGAGTCTGTAACCAAACCTGAAACAGTAATTGGCTGGGCTGGCTAGACTCCACTCCCCAAGGCTCAGATTACAGGCATGCCACCACACCCAGCTTTTATGTGGCCTCTGGGGAATCTAAACTCATGTTCGCATGCTTGTACAGGGGGCACTTTACCCACCAAGCCATTTCACTAGTCCAAATATTATTTTCAAAAAGCACTTTACCCAGTATTCAGAAATTACGTTATGATACCAAATGTGTGGCAAAACATCTGATCACAAAGAACTTGGATTAACAATAGCAAGTAGTTTTAGTAGTTGAAATAAAACCATTATTTAATGGGAAGACATATGTTACTATTAGTTTTATAGATGAGAAAACTGACAATTTCCCAAAGTTTTTAGTACTCACTTAGATCGGGTAGAACGTTGAAGTCTATGAAACTAACTCACAGTTTTGAAACTAACACTAAGTATCACTGAAATTATTAAGATATAGATAGTATATGTATAAAAGAAGTGTTTAGTTTAAAATTATGCTTCACTTGGGGAAATTACCTAGAAAAAGAAACACCGGGAAGGATGTCAAGTAACATTAAAGCCTTTACTTTGTTTTTACTGTTGAAAAAAAGAAGTTATGGGGTTTGTTTCCTTGTTTACTTGGTTGGTTTTTGGAGACAGAGTTTTTCATGTGTTAACAGTCCTAGCTGTCCTAGAACTCACTCTGTAGACCAGGCTGGCCTTCAACTCAGAGATCCACCTGCCTCTGTCCCTTGAGTGCTGGGATTATAGGTGCACACCACCACCTCGGAAAAGTTTGTTAAAACTAACAAATTATCATCATTTTATAGTAACTAAGAGACAAAATGACCCACTTGCTGCGGAAGGTCACATAAACAAGTTAAAGCTTGTATTATAATACAGGTTTTTTCCCACTGATTCATTTGCTTAAAATCTCCACCTTATTCCATACAGGACTGTAACACAGTTACCATATATGCTCCTATACTTGGAATCCTTCTTTGAAACAGAAAGCCATACCTTTGCAAAGAGCAAGTTAAGTTGCTTCCCCGATCCATGGTACCCTCCCTGGGAAAGGAACAGTTTAACCTGCTCCTGCACCTGCTCTTCATCCAAGTGCCAGCAGTTCTCATCGTCGATGCTAGCACCTGCCGTGGGATCAGGAGCACCTACAAAGAAAAGGGGCATGGTCTGGATTAAATCTGGAAATAATTCAGATTCAAGTTTTACATAAACACTTTTTAAATCCATCTCAGTCTCAATTATATATACCAATTTCTGACTGAAATAAATGCAATTCACCTTTGATTTCCAAGACCTTCCTTATCTGTACTTAGTCAAACACAGATTACTGTAGAACTCAAGTTCTACAGAGTACAGACACAGAGCCTCTTGCTTACACATTTCCTAAAAAATTAAAGAGTCGCAGTGTGGTGGCAACACATGCCTTTAATACCAGCACTTGGGAGGCAGAGACAGGCCTGGTCGACAGAGCTAGTTCCAGGACAGTCAGGGCTACATAGAGAAACCCAGTCTCAAAAACAATTAAAGATATCTTACTGTAAATGCATGACATAGGAAAATATATGTAGGACATACTAGAAAAATATTTCTCACTGACACCCAGAAAATACAGAACAAGTCATGCAGCATCGGACTTCACTCTTTCCTGTTGACTCAAGAAGCTTCACCATCCTCTGCTACCATAACAACAAGATGCTGACCTAAGTCTTTACTTGCAGAAAAGGAAAGATTAAAAAGGGAAACTAAGACACATGGGAGCAGGCAGTGCAGCTGTTGCTCTAACTCAGGTTGTAGCATTACCTTGCCAAACTGCATTAATATTTTATTGCTGAAGTACACAGGAAAGACAACCTCTATGTAATAAATCCAGTGAGCGAAGGCCACCTTACAAATTTACAAGTTACCCAGCTACTCAGGGAAAAGCTTTAGGCTTCATTATTTGTTAAGAAAATAAAACAATGGCATGCAAGACCTATAAGAAATAAGATTTTAAATATAAGAACATGTCACTTCGTCTCATAAACCTTTCAACAGCCTTCAGACATAGATATGATTCTATATCACTTTCACTCAATGATGAAGTACAAAATTAACTGTTCAAGGAAATAATCACTAATGTCTCCTTAGAAACTGGGTCTGCTTGACCCTAGTAGAGGGCCACAGTGGAACAAATCCTACAAAGTGGCATTTATTCTTTCAGACAGTCAATATAGCCACAGTGGCAACTCTGCTACTTTGCTTGCCTCTTTGCAAGAACATGGAGATATAATGGTATTTAAAACACACAGAATTCCTGTTCCGAACTATGTTTTATCTAGTTCCTACAATAATACCACTTATACTATGCCTACTATGCATATGAGTTTATGTACTTACATGATCACAGCTGTAAATTAAGCTGAAAAGTCTGACTATAAAGAAAAACCCTTAGCATAAATGAAGTGGCCTAGTATTTGCTATTCTATTTCTTTTAAAAAAATGACTTGTTAAGCCGGGCGGTGGTGGCGCACACCTTTAATCCCAGCACTCGGGAGGCAGAGGCAGGCGGATCTCTGTGAGTTCGAGATCACCCTGGTCTACAAGAGCTAGTTCCAGGACAGGCTCCAAAACCACAGAGAAACCCTGTCTCGAAAAATCAAAAAAAAAAAAAATGACTTGTTATAACCCTTTACATTAATTCTATACCATAGTTGGATTGCAACAACTATTTGGAAAGCAGTGCAGTAATGACGACACGAATGTGTGATGTGCAGATGTGGATGCAGAGTGCTGAATGGTGATAGCTCCTCAAAGGCAGGGTTTGAGAGACTTACCTTCAGGATACGGCAATGAGCTGAGATCTGACTAAAGACAGGGAAAGAGGGATGGGTCACATGTGGGACTAAAAAAAGAACGTGGGCAGAGGCCTTAGGCAGAAAAAAGCCTGGTAGATAGAAATAAAAGTCCAATCAACCTGAGAGTAGAGGGCCTACGGCAGAGCAGCCCAAGACAATCCTGGAGGGATGAGGATTCTCAGCTTCACAGCTGAGGAGCTCAGGGCCTCTTCCCTTGGGGCAATGAATAGGAACTTACGAGGACGGTACCTGAAGTAGGAGAATGAACTCCTCTTTATCCTGATGTCCATCACCTGAACATTCTTACCATAAAATGTTTGTTAATCATGCAGCCTCAGAAATGAATGAGGGTAGTCTCCCTGTACTACACTGGAGTACAAGTAATCTAAAATTATCACTGGATGAAAAAACAAGGAGAAAATGATACATAAATGCACTAATTTCATGTTGACAATGAGGCTTTTTAAAAGAAGTTCTGCATTATTATCTCCTTACACAAACAATCTGGGAAAGACAACACAGATGCATGAAGATTTGGTGAAGATGTAAACATGGAAGGGATCATGGGGTGTGGAGAGGCACTGGTTTCTAGATCAAACTGCTATACAGAATATGGGACAATTCCCTGACATAGAAGATCAAATCTGGGAGTTCAGTTTTAATATAGTGAATGTGGAATACCTTGGAGACAGGACAAAAGAGGGCAAAGGATATTAATCAGGAAGGAGGCACGCTGAGGGAGGCAGGGCAGGTTTAAGAAGGCAGTCAGGAGAGCGAGTGCCCTGGTGCAGGTTCACATTTAAATGCTAGAGGAAAAGGAGTGAGGGCGGTGGGAATGAGTGTCCTCTTAGAAGAGCTGGAAAGACTTTCCCACAAAGTGAAAAGTTGCTCTAATTAGGGACTGGGCAATTAGGCTGATGTCCAAGCTGTGTACAAGTGAGGATTTTATCTGTCCCTATTGTCGCAACAGTCTGGGAACCAAACACTCAAGAGGAAAGCATCAAAAAGAGAAGGGGGCAAAGCAAATATTTCCTCCCTAACGATTCTTTTTGAAAGGCTAAAAACCATTGTAAAGTATCCTTACATACATGACTTCCTATTTTCCTCATAAGGACGATTTATTGGCATGTTTGTTCTCACGACTCTCATTTCACAGGAAGCTGTAAGGACACATAATGCTACTGTAACCAGTAGGTCTACAAATGGTATCTCAGAGGGAGTCAAAGTGTCCCTAATTCCCCAACCGTCCATTTCGGTTACTGGGACCTCTTTACACGTACTCTCTGTGGAAAGACAGCTAGATTCCTTATGGGAATGCATCAGAAGACACTTTGCAAACAACTAACCTACAGGGTCTCAACTTTTAAGCTCTCCCATTATATTATTAAAACTCCTCCAGGAAATTACTGGCACAGCGCAAACTGGCTACTTGTCATTCATTTTTCCTGTTCCTGACGATCTGGACTCTGAGAGCTGCTGTTCCTCTGTGTCGATTTTCTTGTAGTATGTTTTGCTAGAACCCCCCCCCCCCCGGAAGAGTTCTCAGTCACACATGGGCCTGTTTGGGGACGAGGCTGGCTGTGCTCCGTCACAACAAAGGGCTGTCAGCTGCAGGGGCCAAAACTCTACGGGAGAAACATAGGGTCTTGCCACAGAAGTCCAAGTATTTTCAGTAGACAAGAATTTGTTTTTTTTTTTTTTATTTATTTTTTTATTTTTTTTCTTTTTTTCTTTTTATTTGGCTTTTTTTAAATTAATTTATTTATTAAAGATTTCTGTCTCTTCCCCACCGCCGCCTCCCCTTTCCCTCCCCCTCCCCCAATCAAGTCCCCCTCCCTCGTCAGCCCAAAAAGCAATCAGGGTTCTCTGCCCTGTGGGAAGTCCAAGGACCACCCACCTCCATCCAGGTCTAGTAAGGTGAGCATCCACGAAACTGCCTAGGCTCCCACAAAACCAATAGGTCCAGTAGAATCAAAAACCCGTTGCCATTGTTCTTGAGGTCTCAGTAGTCCTCCTTGTCCGCTATGTTCAGCGAGACCAGTTTTGACCCAGGCTTTTTCAGACCCAGGCCAGCTGGCCTTGGTGAGTTCCTGATAGAACATCCCCATTGTCTCAGTGTATGGGTGCACCCCTCGCGGTCCTGAGTTCCTTGCTTGTGCTCTCTCTCCTTCTGCTCCTGATTTGGACCTTGAGATTTCAGTCCGGTGCTCCAATGTGGGTCTCTGTCTCTGTCTCCTTTCATCGCCTGATGAAGTTTAATATTCAGGAGGATGCCTATATGATTTTCTTTGGGTTCTCCTTCTTATTTAGCTTCTCTAAGAACCCGAATTATAGGTTCAATGTCCTTTATTTATGGCTAGAAACCATCATAAAGGGATGTTGGATTTTGTCAAATGCTTTTTCCGCATCTAATGAAATGATCATATGGTTTTTTTCTTTCAGTCTATTTATATGGTGGATTACATTGATAGATTTGCGTATGTTGAACCAGCCCTGCATCTCTGGGATGAAGCCTACTTGATCATAATGGATAATTTTTCTGATGTGTTCTTGAATTCGGTTTGCCAGTATTTTATTGAGAATTTTTGCGTCGATATTCATGAGTGAGATAGGCCTGTAATTCTCTTTCTTGGTTGGGTAGACAAGAATTTGAATGAGAGGAAACAAAATCATCTTCGATGGCCTGAATGCCTAGGCAAACTGACCAACACTGAGAAACCCTCTAAGCACTGCAGACTATACTCAATTCGTAATTATTCCAAGCAAAGAGCAACAAATTTTATTAGAATCCGAGTCACTTTTGACTTGAATTAATTAAAAGTAAGTTTTAAAATATATTTTAAAACTGCTTTAAGTTATCATTGATATTTAAACACACACACACGCATACACACGTTCTTGCCCAAATGGAGAAATAACTAATAAATGTATGAATATATCCCAATTTTCACAAAACCTGATTTGGCTTTGAGTCTTTTTGAGTGTTTTGGTATGCTAGTATCAGAATTACCCTATTTCCTAAGAGTATTATGGGGAAAAAGAAAGGCACTGGAGAAGAAAATGACCTGTGGATAAAATCTACAAAGTCTACACATGAATTCAAAGGTGAAGCATGGTTCTAAGCCTGCATCTGAACTCCAGGGAATTCAATTCAATGAACAGTTTAAAAAGAGTATGTACCTGCAGGCAAACTATTTATGCTTCTCGGGCTTCCATCTTAACTCCAAAACTCTACATATAGGAATAAAAACATTAACCAGGCAATAAAAATTATAAGTCTGCTGATTCATTGTAGAAAATTTTGGTTACTT